TCCGATAGGGGGCCGATTATATCGTGCATCCCTATTAAAAACATAATTAACTTGCACAAATAAGGAATAATATTAACCATACATGCAAACAGAGTTTAACGGGGCCCCCAGGAACTTGGGTCCCTAGGAAACTGCCTAGTTTTCCCTAATGTTGAATCATTTGTTCAGGTAAATCCGTTCTGCTTTGATCCAATAGGTGTAAAAGAAGCTTCTGTTAGTTATTACCTGAACCACCGGGTGCCCCCCTGTGGGTGCTTTGACTGCACCCCTGCTTCCCTCCGTCTCATAGTGGGCCCTGTGGTGCGGTTTGGGCTGGACCTCAATGTGGAGCTCGTACTGTTCGGTGCGACTGGGAAGCGGCCATTCCAGCGGTGGGAGTGACGCCAGCGGGAGGCTGCAGACGGAAAGACAAAATAACCACGGTGATTGTTGCTACTGAGAGATGTGAGCTTAGAAAGCGTTCCCTCTCTCACCGACCTACCTGCAGATACTGGGAACCAGCGGCTTAGGCCAGATTGATGGGATGACAAAGAAAGGTTCCCCCGCAGGTTTAGATTTAATGTCCTGATCACAGGGCACTAAGTAGTTCCCGTCCCCATGGTTCTCTGGGTACAGAGTGTAAACTTGGTTGGACGTTTTGACTATTTTGGTGGGCACCAGGCCTGGCTGGCTGCCGTTAAAACCGTTCACGCCTTCTACGACGCCAGCATGCGCGAAATGAGCTCCCATGTTGAGATCCTCCTGCCTGCCGTGGGGGGACGGGCTGCGGGACCTCTGTCCGGGGATCAGCCCCGGATTCCGGTACATTTCGTAGGTGCGCTTGCCCTGTGGGGAGGCGGAGCGCGGCCGGGGGGAGGGAGAACGCGCCCCCAGGCCGCCGTCCTCTCCTAGGTTGGTGTGAGGGGAGGTACCCGGGGAGGTGCGTGGGGAGCTGGTGTGGATGTTCTGCATGCGGGGGCAGAGATCGCCCGGATTGGGGACGCTGCTGGGGGAGACGCAGGGAGACGCCCAGGGGGAGTAGTTCTCAGAGTGCCAGCTGGTGGAGGAATTGCTGCTGGCAGGACTCAGGCACTGGGGCTCCCGGTAGGCCAGGTTATCATGGCCGGGCACAGTGAGGGTGGGCCGGGGGCTGATGTTCAGGTGCTGGCTCGGCAGGGAGTCCCGGCCATGGCTGTAGTGCTCACGGGAGGGGGTGATCTCAATCCGGGGGCTCAGGGCGACGCCCGGGGGCCGGGCGCTCTCCAGGTAGTTCCTGGCCTCCTGGTTTTCATACCCAGAGAGAACTTTTGAGTCGGAGTAAGGGGAGCTGCACGACTTGATCCTGTACGGCTCATCCAGAGGAAAACCTGGCCTGGATTCAGGACTGAGCACCTTGTGAGAAGCAAGGCCAGGGTCATCTGCAGAGAAACAGGCATTAGAAGACATCATCAATCTGCATAAACAAAGATCTGTTACAATAGAGCTGCACATTGAATGCACCACGCAGTCACAATCCGCTTCCAAATAATATCTTTATGATGGAAAAACAATCAGCTTCATGATGTTATCTTTACAGAATTATTAAATAGTGTGCAGCTCTGTCCAACTATAGTGGCTGCAGCTTTTCTTTCCAACCAAACAGCAGCAGGAGACTGCAGTCATCTCATCAATGGAGTCCAATCTGAACATGATGACTTGATGAGATGAATGGAGTCTGCTGTGCCATTGCTTTGGTGGAAGGAAACCTGCAGCCATACGGCCCTTTATGGAACCAGTTTGACATCCCTGCTATACAAGGATAAAAAAATATATATTATTATTTATATAACATCAAAATAAACAGCTTTACATCAGATCCCACATCAATAATAAGTCTGACACATTTGCTTCCTGGTTTATTCCAACATTCAAATAAACTGTACAGGTAAATGCATCAGAGGCAAAACAAACCGAGTTCAGCTCAGGTGAGCACAAAATAAAATCAAATAAATGAACTTTTCGGACAAACCTTGGTCTCCTCCTGCAAAGTCGCTGCAAGGCGGCTCATACTCAAACAAATACTCAAACTGTAAATCCTCATCAGGACAGTTGGCTTGACTCAGGTCTTCCTCCAGGTCCTTTTCGTCGTAAAAGGATGTCATCTGTCTTGATTTTTATTTTTTATTTTATTGAAGTCTATAGATTCCTCCTGCTGGGTTTGCTCTGCTGGAGCCAATTCGCTGCCGGAGCGTCAGATCCCGCATCGGCCAACTACTAGAGTTGAAGCTGCGATCAAAGTTTCCTGTTTCAGTTCTCAGCGGTTATTTTCAGAAAGGAAGGCGGGTCTATTTACGAACCGAGCCGCACTTTTTTTTTTTTTTTTAATGTGTGTTTGTTTGTTTTTTTCTCTCTCTCTCTCTCTTCCTCTGTTTCAGTGCGGGTTTTATCACGCCTCCCCCGCCTCAGATGATGCGTCGAGCAGCAAAAGAGCAAAAGTGCAAACAGGTGTTTGTGCCGCGCAGTTTCCTTCCCATTCGAGTTGCGCTTCTACACTATGACTTACGGCTGGATAGAAAATCATGGTGCGTTCAGGTCCCGTTGGAGAGTTTTCGGTATAGAGATAATTTTTTTCATAATTTGTGTAATAGTTGTATATTACGGAAGAGGATTAGGGCCGCTGGAAAAAAAAAAAAAGTTAACTGATTTTTTTTATTTTATTTCAGTATAGTATGGGAAAAAAGTCAGAATTCTGACTTTAATGTCAGAATTCTGACTTTTTTCTCAGGATTCTGACTTTATTCTCAGAATTCTAACTTTTTTCCTCAGAATTCTGACTTTAATCTCAGAATTCTGAGAAAAAAGTCAGAATTCTGACATTAAAGTCAGAATTCTGACTTTTTTCCCATACTATACTGAAATAAAATAAAAAAAAATCAGTTAACTTTTTTTTTTTTTCCAGTGGCCCTAATCCTCTTCCGTAGTATTTTTATTTAAAAAGTTAAAAATTTTTTTTTTTTTTTTTTTTTTTTTTTTTTCAGTGGCCCTAATCCTCTTCCGTACTAGTTTGACCAGTAGAGTCTAATAAAAATT